GTAACTTCCTTTTTTGCTCTCCTTAGTTAAAATCCACACTCAGTTTTATTAGTCCAGATCCAGTCCAGATCAAGGTTCCCATCCAAGTTCTAAAACCCCGAGAAGAGGAGTTTACAATGGGAATAACACTTGTCCAGTGGTGCTATCCTAACGTTCATTAGCACTTTTTTTCTGCAATAGGAGGCGTGCAGTTAGCTTTGGCATGTTCACAGGGCCAAATCTTGCTCTCTGTTATGCCAGTGCATGGCTCCATGTGTTTTAGAGAGGTTGCAGAATTTGAGCCTGGTGTCCCAGATTGTCCCTTCGGCTTATGCAGGCAGAGGGGACCTCACTCAGGCTCAACTCCCTTCAGAGCATGCAAGGGAAGAAAGCAGCACTACACCATGCAGAAGACGTGTCCCAGAGCTTGGCTGAGCACAGAAGAAGGTAGCACAATGGGCTTGGCCATTCACACAGGCCGGAACTTTTATTCAGCCCCATGGATTTCCACCTGGCAGTCCCGTCTGGAGTTAAAGATTCCCAAAGCAGCTTCACCTCCTGTAGGATGCTATCCCCAGCTGCTACAAAGGAGCCATGCTGCATGGCGAAATGGACAGCAGAGCAGCGTGGCATGGGAGCCAACGCTGACAGGTCTGTTCCTGCTGCCATGAATTATGGGGTTCCCTTTCCTCATGGATCCCCTGGATCTGTGGAGTTGGGAGGCCTCGCCTCCTGCCAGCTCTCAATTCCTCCCTGCTGAGAAGATGCTTCCCTGGGAGTTCTAGCAGGAGAACCTCATGAAGATTTCTGGTCCCTTCACATGGGAAAACCACCTCTGCCCCAGAGCCATTAGAGCAGTGACCTACATTGAAATTTAGCATCATTGCGGTAGTTCCGTGCAGCCTGCATAGATACATAGTCATTGGAAACACTGGGTCAGATCCTGTTCCCATGAATTCAGGACAGGGTCGAGGTCAAGTAGTAAATGTCAGTGTGTTTGTAATGTCGTAAATGTCAGTGTGTTTGTAATGTCGTTCCATGCTTTGTGCTTCCATAGGGATTCATAGATTATAAAGCCAGGAGGGACCGTTTTGATCATCTAGTCTGACCTCTTGTATAACACAGGCCATAGGACTTCCCTGAATTAATTACTGTTTGAACTAGAGCAGATCTTGATTTAAAAGTGTGCAGTGATGAGAATCCACCACATCCATTTGTACCAATGGTTAATTACCCTCACTGATATGAACTTGCACCTTATTTCCAGTCTGAATTTGTCTAGCTTCAATTTCCAGCCTTTGGACTGTGTTATACCTTTTTCTGCTAGATTGAAGAGCCCATTATTAAATATTTGTTCCCCATGTAGGTCGTTAAAGTCTGTAATCATGTCTCACCTTAACCTTCTCTTTGTTAAGCTAAATAGATTGAGCTCCTTGAGTCTATCACCGTAAGGCCGGTTTTCCAATCTTTTAATCATTTTACTGGCTCTTTGCTGGACCCGCTCCAATTTATCAGCCTCCGTCTTGAATTGTGGACACCAGAACTGGACGCAGTGTTCCAGCAGCGGTCGCACCAGTGTCCGTATCGCCTCTATGGTATTACACACCGGTTCACTATCTCCTTGTCGTCTTCTCTTTCCATTGGTGAGGCTTCATCCGCCTCATTTTGCGTGCCCAACGTTCTCTCTGCAGACAGCCCGGGCCCTGATCCTGGAACTGGCTGTGCGTGGGTAGACCCTGGCACTCACGTTGCGGCTGGTGTCTGCCCACATGCACCATGAGTTGCAGGATCAAGGGCCCGGGTGAGCAGCTGCTCTTAGTACAGGCCTGTCTTATAGCTGGCTGCAGAGACCTGTGTTTGCAGGATGGGGGGTGAATCAGATGACCAGTGTTTTCTGTTTCATTAGCAAAAAGCGACATGGCAGGCAGGCCAAGCCGTGGGAAAGAGATCTTTGTGAAGCCTGCGGGGTGGCTAGTGTTACATGCTTAGCTTCTGCTTCTACAATTTCTGTGTAAGGAACCTGGCTGGGCTTGGCTTGCTGGGCCACTGGTGCAACCCGAAATTGGGCCCCTCCTGAAACTGGGCACTCTAGTTCCACTTATCATGTAATGTCTTCCACCTCTAATTTCTGCGCCTTTGTGAAGAGTGCGCAGCCCAGAATCCCCCCTTCTGAAGCAGCCCAGCACGGTACTCAGCGCTGCTTTGCAAGAGTGCTGCGCTTGGCTTCTTCCGTAGAGGAGTTAGGGCTGCCAACTGTCTAATCGCACAAACCCAAACACCCTTGCCCGCCCCTTCCCCGAGGCCATGTCCCTGCCCCGCCCCTTCTCCGAGGCCCCACCCCCGCTCACTCCATCCCCCCTCCCTCAATCGCTCGCTCTCCCTCACCCTCACTCACTTTCACCAGGCTGGGGCAGGGGATTGGGGTGTGGGAGGGAATGAGGTCTCTGGGCTGGGGGGTGGATCCGAGGGGTTCAGAGTGTGGGAGGGGGCTCCGGGCTGAGCCTGGGGCAGGGGGTTGTGGTGTGAGAGGGCGTTTGGGTGCGGGAGGGGGCTCAGGGATGGGACGGGGTTGGGGCACAGTGCGGGGGTTCAGGGTGCAGGCTCCGGCCGGGCGGCGCTTACCTCAGGGGGCTCCAGGAAGTGACTGGCATGTCTGGCTCCTAGGCTCAGGGGTGTCCAGGAGGCTCTGCACGTTGCCCCTGCCTGCAGGCACTGCCCCCGCAGTCCCCATTGGCTGCGGTTCCTGGCCAATTGGAGCTGTGAAGTTGGCGCTCGGGGCGGGGGCACCGCGCAGAGACCCCCGGCCGCCCCTGCACCTAGGAGCTAGAGGGACCTGTCACAGCTTCCTGGAAGCCACGCGGAGCTAGGGCAGGTAGGGAGCCTGCCTTAGCCCCACTGCGCCACCCACCGGACATCTCCCGGATGGGCTTCAGTAGGGACCAGGAGATCGAGGCCCTTTCTGGGAGACTCCCAGCCAATCTGGGAGCTTTGGGAACCCTAAGAGAAGTAGCCTCTGCTGTTGTTTGTTCCTGGGGCTGCTGGGAGTTATTTGGAACAGAGGCAGGCCCAAGCCACAGAGAGAGTGGGATCAGGGCGGTCAGCACAAGCAAAGGCTAGTGAGAGAAAGCTGCAGCCACTGCATCCCGGTGTCTCTATGTGCACTCCGCCTCCAGCCCCAATTGCAATGTTCCTGGCTCGTGTCCAGACCCACCACTCACCTGCAGAGATTATACACCTTAAATCGTTATTGCCAGCTAATGGAGAATCTCTCGCAGTTCAAGTGCTAGAGGCCTATAATGATGGAGATGAGGCCTTGGTTCTGTTCCCCAGTGCCACACCTTTTGTACTATGTGGCTGATGCCTGATGCATCCAGCCCTGGATTCACTGCAGTGTGCCTGATCCTGTCGTCCTTGCTCGGATAGATCTGCCATTGAAGTCAAGGGGAGATTTGTACCTACAGAAGGCAGAATTAGTGCCCAGTCTGTGTTAAAGGGTTTAGCCATTTCTTGTGCACTGGTCCCTGCTGACAGGCCCCGATCATACGAGGGGCTCCCTCAGAACCCTCATCCCAAATAGACACAGCTGCGTGAATCCTCTGCCGGCATTCAGAAGATGAGCTCCCCAAGGTGGGTCAGGATCCAGAGTTTAACAAGGTGACTGATGCAGAGGAGCACCTGGGTCATCATCCGAGAATGTGTTCCAGGAGTGCCAGAAGAGGGGAGACCAGGGGGCCATGGCCCTCCCAACTTTTGCCCTCCCACCTTTTCCTGCCTTAAGGGTGACTGAGGGTGGTGAGGGGGTGGAGAAGAACGAGCAGCGGGCAGGGCCTTGGGGGGAGAGGTGGAGCAGGCACCAGACCTCAGGGGGAAAGAGGCGAAGGGGGGGCAGGGCCTCTGGGGAAGGAGGCGTGGTGAGGGCAGGGCCATGTGGGAAGAAGTGGAGTAGGAGGTGGGGCCTCAGGGGAAGAGGCGGGGCAAGGGGCGGGGTCCCCACTTCTTGGGAGCTTCTGGCAGTCCTGCCCTGTTCCCTTTCTCTGCCATCCCTGGAGATGAAAACTGTTTAAAAGCAGCTGAGAGGGCATAAGGAACTGAAAGCAAGAGATACCCTCATGTATGTTTAAACAGGCCAGATCTTTTCTATTAGCAGTACAAGTGACACACGCCAAAAAGGCTGTGTAAGAGATCATTAGTGATGCCAGCTTTGGCACTGATTAAAGAGCGCACATGAGACGCTGCCTTCCCCACCCACGCTGCTCCCTGTGTTTCCCCTACATTAAAAGATAAAGGCCTCAGGAACAGCACCGAGTCCCTCCAGATGCCCGTGTGGGAGGGAGCTGCAGCCGTCAAAGCCCCAGGAGCCCTCTTCCTCCCACTGAGACGGTGGTTCTTAAATTAGTGGCAGAAAGGAGACAGGGCGGGGGGGGATGGGGGGATGACGACGAACGACTGCTGCCTCTGTGTGTGAAAGCAGGTGACCTTTCCCAACAGAGACAGGACTCAACAAACTCTTATCAGCCTCACTTGGAAAAGAAAGCAAGAGGTTGATCCTGGGCCACACTGGATGGAGGACAGGAATTGGGTCCTCCCTAGAGAACCCCCAAGGACAGGGTTAGGGGGAGTTGTCCTCTAGGAGGGTGCTCCCAAGAGGAGAGGGGGGCAATGGCTGATTGCCTGAGAGTCATGGGTATGGGGGGCTGACATCCTTGGCTGCTGAAGGGCCCAGAAGGAACAAAGCTCACCCTCCTGCTGGGATGACTCAGAGGAAACTCTAAAGAGATGCTCAGCTTGCTGTCCCCTGGGGTTCTTATTTGCTGGGGATGAGCCAGGTACTGGGGCTGAAGCATAAACTGATACGTTTGATGGAAGGGGAAGTATTTTGGCAGCACCTGAACTCCAGATGTTTGCCCAAGTTGCCTTTGATGTCTGAAGTCTTGCTATGCTGAGAATAGGATTTGGGGGGACATCTGTGGAAGTTGGCCAATCACATAGACTAGAATGATCCTTTTTGATATATGTTTTAGGGTACAAGAGGTAGAAGAGGAAGACCTCAGCTCTGCCTCAGGGGTCCTCCAGGTACTCCTGGCAACAAAGGAGAAAAGGTGAGTACTGAGAACTGCTCAGTTAGCTTAGAAAACGAAACTGAAGCTGGGGTCGGGGTGGTTATGGAAGGGAACTTTTTTTGTGTTCTGTGTTTGTACAGTGCCTAGCACAGTGGTGGCCCTGGTCCATGACTGGTGCTCCTAGGTATTTCAGTAATACAAATACTGAATAATAATAGGCCACTGGACTGAGATTCGGGACATCTAAATTCAGTTCCGTGCTCTGCCATGATAATGAGTCTGAGCCGACTCTCACTGAACTCTGCAGAAAGGCATCCACTGGCTTCAATACACAAAGGGTCAGGCCAACGTTCAGCTGAGCTCTGGGAACAGGGTTTGTTAGTATCGTTCCCTCTGTTGGCTCAGGAGAAAAGTCCATCCGATCAGGTCTTAGGTGAAGGTTGTCGACTTTGGGTTTGATTTGCTGGCCTTGTGGAATGTCACTGCTCTGTGTACAGACAGCGTGTTGAGCCAGAGTGCTGGCATTCTGCTAGGACCCTGAGAATAGCAGTGGTGCAAGCAGCAGACGGGGCTAACCAACCCGAATCTAATCCCGTCTGAAATCCTAGGTGCATACTCGAGTGGCTATCCCATCCCACTGTTCTCACCGCTGCAGCTATACTTTTCTTGTTAGCACACTAGTTCCATCACAGCCAGCATGTCTGGAAATTACACCTCCAGCCCCAGTGTAGACACCCCCTCAGGGTCAGTGATCTGGGCTCTGCGGCCCAATCCTGGCTAGACTGCCTGTCTGTTTTAGGCATTTGCAATGTGCCAACCCTCACCGCCAACCATGTTTGTCACACTTCTTTGGGAAACATCGTATTTGGGGCCCACCCTCCTTCACAGCCTCCCCCTTTTAATTGACTGGAGAGGGTTATGCAGTCCAATTAAATAATGCACTCCTACATCCTCTGAGGGTTCCAGAGAGCACTTGACTAGCTAGCTAGGCAGAGCTCATTTCACCCAGCTAATCTAGCTGAAAAAGACAGGGCCAAGACTTTCAAAAATGGGAGCCTAAAGTTAGGATTCTGAGCCCGTGTTTTCGCCTCTAAATAAGTGGTCTGATTTGCCAGAGGGCAGATCACCCAGCAAGCTGCTGATTGCGCTCGCTACAGAAAACCTGGCCACTTATTTACAGGTCTGAATATGGAATCAGTCTAACTTTAAGCTCCCGTTTTTGACCATCTTTGCTCTCTCTGTTTGCATTGCTAGCGAGAGGGAAATTACGTCTCGGCCAGGCAACCTAAAAAAAGCAGCAGATGCAAGAACTGAAGGGTTTTATGTTACTCTGCAAGCAAGTCAAATGCATAAAATTGCCCATACTCCAGTAACGAAGTTAGCCAGACGGAAGGCAAAACGAGGCAAGAGACAAGCAGTGTAAATCATTCACGCCTATTAGTCTGGCCAGGAATTGGGTACGGTGGCAGAGCAGGAGGACTGACTGGCAAAGGGATGAACGATTCTGAAATCACCCTCTCTTTATACTCTCTCCTCAGCCAGCTTTAGATCTTTGCTACCGAGTCGTATCTGGCGGAGGTTTTATCTGCTGCAGGGGTTGACATCCCTGACTCGCTGTTTTGCTGCGGCAGTGAGTAGCCATGGCAGCTCTGCCCCCCCAACAGGTTTAGCCTTTGAAGCTGATGGAATTTGTTCCAGTGCTTTCGCCCCCGTTAGGTGGTCACAGATTCAGAAAAATGGCCATCGCGGCTCTCGTTCGGACAACTCGCCCTGTGCCCTTTTTAGCGTAGCAATTTTTAATTAACAGATTTGGTTGGAAGTGGCTCAGAGCAACTTTTGTAGCACAGTTGTCTGCATTGAGCAGAGAAATCCTCCATCCTGCTTGTTGTTTCCCTTGAGGGGGCTGGCATTGTGTTCTCAAGGTTGTGACTATGATGCCACCAGAATGTAATTCTATCTGGCATTTGAATTACAGGAGTGTAAAGTAGCTCAGTTTTGAGACCAGATTCTATCCCCAACACAGAACTTTTCCTCCACTCAGATAATGCAACAGAGCCAGAATTTGTCTGTAGCTGGCTAGCTGAGAATTCACCTGGCATGAGGAGATCTGGAACAAAGCTGGGGGCACATCAGGGGTCGGAGGTCTGTTCAGGCAGCTGGGAGTGGACCATCAGTGCAAAGCAGATTCTCATTTGGACTATGGTCCCTTAGGGACCATATGCAAACGGCATATGTTAGAGCAGCCCCTGGGCTGCTCTAGCTCCTTTGGAAGCTGGGGCAAGTGCAGTCCACAGAATCAGGGAGACTTAACCATTCCCCTAATGTTATCCCCTCCTCTCCTGCATTGGGATGAATCTGGCAATTTCAGTTTACTGACCTATTTTCTGGTGTCTCTTAAATTTACGGGAAAACACTGTATTTGAACCTTGTGGTCCCTCCCCCTCTTTCTTTAGCATCTTTTTCTGTTCAGGATGCATTTACTGTTGGAGACATTTGCTGCCTAATCTGCTGAACCTCTGTAATTACCTAAGTGTTTTTAACAGGGAGAAAATGGTCCAGCTGGTCTGAAAGGAGAGAAAGGAGATCCTGGCCTTTCTGTGAGTACTTTATCAGCAGCCTATTGCACAAACCAGAATAGAGAAAATAGGGCAAATGATGCCTAAGAGGTGTGGAGGAGGACAGAGACACTCAGAGCAAATTCATTCCGAATGGCTCCAGGAGACGAGTGTGCATTACAGTGGACTATTAGCGGCTGATAAGATGTCAGCTAGATGCACGCTGAGTCAGAGAGAATGCAGAGAGCAGTGTAACAGCAAAGCAGACCGCAGCTCTGCTCTCAGAGGGTGCTGGACTGGGGCAAACTTCTCCTCTCCCATCCTCAGCGTGGATCCTCTGCTTTTTATTGACATCGGTAGGAGTTCCATGGGTGGGACAAGACCAGACTGTCCAAAAGCGATGAGGAGACAGAAGTGTGCCCTTGGTTTTGAGCTGCAGAAAGAAGCTTTGACAAAACCTGTCCCCTGTAACAGGAATCGGAGTAGAAGCCGGTGTTAGTCTGTATCCGCAAAAAGAACAGGAGGACTTGTGGCACCTTAGAGACTAACAAATTTATTAGAGCATAAGCTTTCGTGGGGTACAGCCCACTTCATCGGATGCACAGAATGGAACATATAGTAAGAAGATAGGTAGATATATACAGACAGAGAACATGAAAAGGTGGAAGTTGCCATACCAACTGTAAGAGGCTAATTAATTAAGATGAGCTATCTATTTCCCCATGTTAAGTAGCCTCACACCTTCTTGTCAACCTGTCTAAATGGGCCATCTTGATTATCACTACAAAAGTTTTTTTTCTCCTGCTGATAATAGCTCATCTTAATTAATTAGCCTCTTACAGTTGGTATGGTTACTTCCCCCTTCTCAGTATGTATATATATTTATCTTCTTACTATATGTTCCATTCTATGCATCCGATGAAGTGGGCTGTAGCCCACAAAAGCTTATGCTCAAATAAATTTGTTAGTCTCTAAGGTGCCACAAGTCTTCCTGTTCTTTTTGTAACAGGAATGACATTCACAATGCTGACACCTATCTCCCCACCCCAAAAGCAAACTTACATGCCACCAATCCACCAACAGCATAACCCTACCGCAGGCAGACTGTTTATTTTGTAAAAGTGGGAAGAAGCTGAGACTCCATGACTTTCAAATAGGGACTTTGCTATTGCTGATCGGTTTTACATGGAAGGCGCCCAGGTGCTACGGCTGGGCGGCTGTGTAAAAACCCTAAGATTGGTAGATAGGGCAAAAGTCTGAATGAGAGCTGTGACATGGAATCATGCCGGAGAAGGTAAGTCAGCAGAGAAACAGCTGCCAGGAAGGAACTGAGACTAAGAACTGAGGAAATGAAGATGATGGACAAAGCCACCCAAGAAGGGAGATGGCAAAAGAAAACAGAAGCCACAACGCCATTAACTCCAGATGAAGATACAGCAAGATGATGAGGAGAAACCGAACTTTCAGGTGACAGGATGTGTCCCTTCCCATATCATGAGACAGAATCATTAAGATCAGCGGGGGATGACGTGCATGGAGCAATGGGTTAGGTCTGGCTTAGAGTGAGGAACAAAGGTGAAGTGAATCAGGTGGCTACCTGTATAATAAGAATAGGTGGGAACACTTTGGCGACACTTGGAAAAGTGAGTGAGGCTCCCAAAGGATTGGTTTATTTTGTATTTTGACTTGGGTGAAGGAGGGTCTGGTGGTTAAGGCTCAGGGGTGGGATGCAGGAGAATGGGGTTCTCTCCTTGTCTTTGCCACCAGTTCTCTGTGTAATTTTAGGGATGGTCCCTTAATGTCTCTGGGCCTCTGTCTCCACATCTGTTAAATGAGGGAAATGAAAGGGGTGCAGTTAGGTTTAATACGTTCATTTCCACTAGGCATTCGCATACTGGGGAGATGAGCGCTATAGAAAAACCTGTAAATATATAACGTCTGTTGCCATGGTTGCCTGTGGATTCAGCACGGGGCAGAGGTGCTGGAACACAATCAGAGAAGATGCTCTTGGATATTATGAAAAACTATTTCACTAGGAGGGTGATGAAGCACTGGAAGGGGTTACCTAGGGAGGTGGTGGACTATCCCTCCTTAGAGGTTTTTAAGGCCCGGCTTGAGAAAGCCCTGGCTGGGATGATTTAGTTGGGGTTGGTCCTGCTTTGAGCAGGGAGTTGGACTAGATCAGTGGTTCTCAACCAGGGGTCGGGGCCCCCTGGGGGGGCCTCAAACAGGTTTCAGGGGGTCCACCAAGCAGGGCCCATGTTAGACTCACTGGGGCCCAGGGCAGAAAGCTGAAGTTCTGCTGCCTGGGGCTGAAGCCTGGGGCCCTGAGCTCCGCCACCGGGGGCTGAAGCCAAAGCCTGAGCAACTTAGCTTCACGGGGCCCCCTGTGCATGGGGCCCTGGGCAATTGTCCTGCTTGCTACCCCTTAATGCCTTCCCTGACTTTTATATGCAGAAAACCGGATGTTGTGACCCAGGTGAGCCGAGGAACTTTTATAGCATGTTTGAGGGGGAGGCCTCAGAAAGTAAAAGGTTGAGAACCCCTGGACTAGATACCTCCTGAGGTCACTTCCAACCGTAATCTTCTGTGATTCTATCTGACCGGCCTGGAACCGGGAAGCATCAGAAATCTCACCATAGAGCCTGTTCTCTTAAGGTTCCCAGCCTGGCTTCTGGATCAGACATGTGTGAAGCAGGGGAAGTGGAAGCTTCCTAACAGTGGGGGGACCACTGGCACCAAAACCATGGCTCCAACCCCCCACACAGCCCCTTCTCCCAAGTAGGGTGACCAGATGTCCCTATTTTATAGGGACAGTCCCGATATTTGGGGCTTTTTCTGATATAGGCGCCTATTACCCCCCACCCCAGTCCCGATTTTTCACACTTGCTGTCTGGTCACCCTACTCCCAAGCCCCCGTCCTCGCGCCGCCCCTTCCCCCGAGCCCCCGCCCTCGCGCTGCCCCTTCCCTCGAGCCCCCATCCTCATAGAATCATAGAATAAAAGAGTTGGAAGGGACCTCTGGAGGCCATCTAGTCCAACCCCCTGCTCAGAGCAGGACCAATCCCAACTAAATCATCCCAGCCAGGGCTTTGTCAAGCCTGACCTTAAAAACTTCTAAGGAAGGGGATTCCAGCACCTCCCTAGGTAACGCATTCCAGTGTTTCACCACCCTCCTAGTGAAAAAGTTTTTCTTAATATCCAACCTAAACCTCCCCCACTGCAACTTGAGACCATTACTCCTTGTCCTGTCATCTGCTATCACTGAGAATAGTCTAGATCCATCCTCTTTGGATCCACCTTTCAGGTAGTTAAAAGCAGCTATCAAATCCCCCCTCATTCTTCTCTTCCGCACACTAAACAATCCCAGTTCCCTCAGCCTCTCCTCATAAGTCATGTGTTCTAGACCCCTAATCATTTTTGTTGCCCTTCGCTGTACTCTCTCCAATTTCTCCACATCCTTCTTGTAGTGTGGGGCCCAAAACTGGACTCAGTACTCCAGATGAGGCCTCACCAGTGTCGAATAGAGGGGAACGATCACATCCCTCGATCTGCTGGCAATGCCCCTACTTACACACCCCAAAATGCCATTGGCCTTCTTGGCAACAAGGGCACACTGTTGACTCATATCCAGCTTCTCGTCCACTGTAACCCCTAGGTCCTTCTCTGCAGAACGGCTGCCTAGCCATTCGGTCCCTAGTGTGTAGCGGTGCACTGGATTCTTCCATCCTAAGTGCAGGACTCTGCACTTGTCCTTGTTGAACCTCATCAGATTTCTTTTGGCCCAATCCTCCAATTTGTCTAGGGCCCTCTGTATCCTATCCCTACCCTCCAGCATATCTACCACTCCTCCCAGTTTAGTGTCATCCGCAAACTTGCTGAGGGTGCAATCCACACCATCCTCCAGATCATTAATGAAGATATTGAACAAAACCGGCCCCAGGACCGACCCTTGGGGCACTCCGCTAGATACCGGCTGCCAACTAGACATGGAGCCATTGATCACTTCCCGTTGAGCCCGACAATCTAGCCTACTTTCTACCCACCTTGTAGTGCACCCATCCAGCCCATACTTCTTTAACTTGCTGACAAGAATACTGTGGGAGACAGTGTCAAAAGCTTTGCTAAAGTCGAGGAATAACACGTCCACTGCTTTCCCTTTATCCACAGAACCAGTTATCTCATCATAGAAGGCAATTAGATTAGTCAGGCATGACTTGCCCTTGGTGAATCCATGCTGACTGTTCCTGATCACTTTCCTCTCCTCTAAGTGCTTCAGAATTGATTCCTTGAGGACCTGCTCCATGATTTTTCCGGGGACTGAGGTGAGGCTGACCAGCCTGTAGTTCCCAGGATCCTCCTCCTTCCCTTTTTTAAAGATTGGCACTACATTAGCCTTTTTCCAGTCTTCCAGGACTTCCCCCGATTGCCATGAGTTTTCAAAGATAATGGCCAATGGCTCTGCAATCACATCCGCCAATTCCTTTAGCACTCTCGGATGCAGCGCATCCAGCCCCATGGACTTGTGCACGTCCAGTTTTTCTAAATAGTCCCGAACCTCTTCTTCCTTCACAGAGGGCTGGCCACCTCCTTCCCATGCTATGCTGCCCAGTGCAGAAGTCTGGGAGCTGACCTTGTTCGTGAAGACAGAGGCAAAAAAAGCATTGAGTACATTAGCTTTTTCCACATCCTCTGTCACTAGGTTGCCTCCCTCATTCAGTAAGGGGCCCACACTTTCCTTGGCTTTCTTGTTGTTGCCAACATACCTGAAGAAACCCTTCTTGTTACTCTTAACATCCCTCGCTAGCTGCAACTCCAGGTGTGATTTAGCCTTCCTGATTTCATTCCTACATGCCCGAGCAATATTTATATACTCATCCCTGGTCATTTGTCCAATCTTCCACTTCTTGTAAGCCTCTTTTTTGTGTTTAAGATCAGCAAGGATTTCACTGTTAAGCCAAGGTGGTCGCCTGCCATATTTACTATTCTTTCTAGACATCAGGATGGTTTGTCCCTGTAACCTCAATAAGGATTCTTTAAAATACAGCCAGCTCTCCTGGACTCCTTTCCCCGTCATGTTATTCTCCCAGGGGATCTTGCCCATCAGTTCCCTGAGGGAGTCAAAGTCTGCTTTTCTGAAGTCCAGGGTCCGTATTCTGCTGCTCTCCTTTCTTCCTTGTGTCAGGATCCTGAACTCGACCTTCTCATGGTCACTGCCTCCCAGGTTCCCATCCACTTTTGCTTCCCGTACTAATTCTTCCCGGTTTGTGAGCAGCAGGTCGAGAAGAGCTCTGCCCCTAGTTGGTTCCTCCAGCACTTGCACCAGGAAATTGTCCCCTACACTTTCCAAAAACTTCTTGGATTGTCTGTGCACCGCTGTATTGCTCTCTGAGCAGATATCAGGATGATTGAAGTCTCCCATGAGAACCAGGGCATGCGATCTAGTAGCTTCTGCAAGTTGCCGGAAGAAAGCCTCGTCCACCTCATCCCCCTGGTCCGGTGGTCTATAGCAGACTCCCACCACGACATCACCCTTGTTACTCACGCTTCTAAACTTAATCCAGAGACTCTCGGGTTTTTCTGCAGTTTCATACTTGAGCTCTGAGCAGTCATACTGCTCCCTTACATACAGTGCAACTCCCCCACCTTTTCTGCCCTGCCTGTCCTTCCTGAACAGTTTATACCCATCCATGACAGTACTCCAGTCATGTGAGTTATCCCACCAAGTCTCTGTTATTCCAATCACATCATAATTCTCTGACTTTGCCAGGACCTCCAGTTCTCCCTGCTTGTTTCCCAGGCTTTGTGCATTTGTATATAGGCACTTGAGATAACCCGCTGATCGCCCCTCGTTCTCAGTATGAGGCAGGAGCCCTGCCCTCTCACACGCTCCTGCTCGTGCTTCCTCCCGGTATCCCGCTTCCCCACTTACCTCAGGTCCTCGCACCGCCCCTTCCCCCGAGCCCCCGCCCTCGCGCCACCCCTGCCCCTGAGCCAGAGAGCTGGGGCTGGCGAAGTGGGCCTGGATGCTAAGTGGCTGGACCGCAACCCACCCAGGCCCACCTGTGGCTATGCCCCTGGTTCAGCCGTTCTCCCTGGCAGCCGGGCCTGGGCGGGGAGTGGGAGCTCACACAGCTCAAGCTGGCCTCTTCGGGTCGCTGCTCCGTGCGGTGCAGCAGCTGCCTGCGACAGCCTTGCTGGGGAGGTGCCGGCTGCCCACTCCCCGCCTGGACCCGGCTGCCAGGACGGGGCCGAGTGAGCCAGAGTCCCCCTCCCCGCCCCCGGCACGTTTCCAGCTCACTCGGCCCCTGTCCACGGCAGCTGGGCCTGGGTAGGGAATGGGCTGACGCCACCACCCCAGCCATGCAGTGGGAGGAGGACAGAGGCCCCCCCGGCAGGTAACGTGCGGGGGTGAGAGTGCAGTGGCCCCGGGCTGGGCCCAAGGCTGAGGTAGATGTGGGGTAGAGGAGACACATGGGGCAATCATGTCCTCCCCTTTAGATTGTGCCCCCCTCCCCCCCCCAGTATGGGGAGGCACAAGTTGTCTATGCTTGGGTACGCTGCCATGTGCTGGAGTCATACCTCCTGTCTGCAGTGTAGACGTACCCTGAGAAACCAAACACCTCTAATCTTAGGTTTCAGAGTAGCAGCCGTGTTAGTCTGTATCCGCAAAAAGAAAAGGAGGACTTGTGGCACCTTAGAGACTAACCAATTTATTTGAGCATAAGATTTCGTGAGCTACAGCTCACTTCATCGGATGCATTCAGTGGAAAATACGGTGGGGAGATTTATATACTCAGAGAACATGAAACAATGGGTGTTACCATCCACACTGTAAGGAGAGTGATCAGGTAAGGTGAGCTATTACCAGCAGGACAGCGGGAAGGGAAAAACTTTTTGTAGTGATAATCAAGGTGGGCCATTTCCAGCAGTTGGCAAGTTGACCTCTAATCATGTTTCAGAGGGGTAGCCATGTTAGTCTGTATCAGCAAAAGCAACGAGGAGTCCTTGTGGCACCTTATAGAATCATAGAATCATAGAATATCAGGGTTGGAAGGGACCCCAGAAGGTCATCTAGTCCAACCCCCTGCTCAAAGCAGGACCAATTCCCAGTTAAATCATCCCAGCCAGGGCTTTGTCAAGCCTGACCTTAAAAACCTCTAAGGAAGGAGGTTTTTAAGGTCACCTTAGAGACCTTAGAGACTAAGAAATTTATTTGGGTGGGTTCTAGCCCACAAAAGCTTATGCCCAAATAAATGAGTTAGTCTCTAAGGTGCCACAAAGACTCCTCGTTGTTTTTACCATTGGAGGAGGAAACAGGCATTTATGTGACTTTAGGTCTGTGTAGATTCTCATCTGTGCAGCGCAACACCTGCCACTGAAGAGAGATTTAGTTACCTTATAAAACAGCCCTAATCGAATGTATTTCAAAATTGCTTTAGATGAGTTATCCACAAGCTGCACACCCTGAACCTGATTCTCAGTGACACCAGGGTCCCTTTCCACCACTCCGGCAGCAGGCGTAAAGTGGGTGTAATTTACATCCACTGGCCCAGGGGGCAGAGTCAGAGGCCGCAGGTAGCTGGGGGCCATGGAATGGAAGAGGAGGTGCTGGTGTCACCATAGAAACCAATTCTAAACCCAAACTTTGCTTGCTGCAAACACAGGAAGAAGAAGTGAAGGACGTGGTCAGGAGTGAAATGAGTGACAAATGCGGTAAGTAAGCCGAAGGAAGCCCCATTTGCTGAGATGCAGCACCGCCGGGAGTCCTGTCGGTGTCTAAATTGGAGCAATTTGAATGCCAGCACAGCCCTGCCTGGCGGAGCTAATACCATCCCATTAACTGCAAACAGCGACGCATTACCAGTCCAGCCCCCTAGATGAATACAAGATTCCACTGGGCACGAGGGCTCTGCTGCAGTCTTGACCTCCTTCCCAAGCTATAATTTTTCCTTTTAAACACTCAATTTTTTCAATTCTTTTCATGTGGCTTCAGTAGCAAAGCCCGTCCTGTATTGCCATGTCGGTTCTCTTGTCACTGGCTAATGGTATTGTACCACTGGTAAGGGTCATGGGGGTGATTGCACACACCTGATGATGACTCCAAATCACCTCTTACTCCCATGCCAATCTTCTCGCGCTTCTTAGAAACTGGACATACAAAGGATTTCCTTTTTGGCAGCCGCTCTGTCATGATGATGATGATGATGATTATGCAGGTCTTTGGAGTTCAAGATACAGCACCACTCCCATTACCCCAACGTCACGGGAAATGCTGTTCTCTGGGGTTCATAGACGTAGACGGAGCATGACCCTTTTTCAACAACAAAGAGTTCTGGATAATGAAGGATCTGAGAGATAATCCATAAATCATACTTAAGCCCCTTCGTTTTAAGTTTAAATCAATTTTTACTGAAAAAAATCCCAGGCTTTATAAAAAGTATTATTCATTTTTTTCCGATTTTCACCCTACTCTTGTATCATTCAAATATATAAAAAATAACTTGTTGTATTAGGAAAATACAATACATTGCATGAGATCTATGTATTATGATAATACATTAGTCTGTGTGTGTATGCAAAGCTGCCTGTTGAAGTCAGGCTATGTATTAGTCTAGAAGATACACACAACAAGCAAATAGGCACGCACGCCAGCTCTGAAGATTTATTTGGGGATTAGAGGTGTATTGTTTTCTTACACTCAGAAGTGGTGTTGTGTTTTGAGTTTGTTTTAGTTCTGCAGCAAACCATACTGAATTCCATTCATCAAAGTATTAATCCACTGAATACATTTTCCCCCTGTTCTTCCATCCACCAAAATAAGTCCTGATATTTACCCAGAAAAATTATTAATAGCTTTTTCCACCAATTTTCACCTGTTTTTGTTGTTATCATAATAAACACCCAGGAAAAATTCCCAGGAAAAATTAAATTAAAGAAAAACTGAAAACGAAGGGCCCCAATCATACTGAAGTATCAGAATATCACTTCCTTTCCCCATTTCAACACCGTTACGGGAGGCACTCGGACCTATTGGGCTAGGCAGTGGCTGTAGACACCAAGTGACTTTGGTTCTAGTCTCCGGTGTGGCACTTGGCTCAAAGTGAAAGGTGCACTGAATTGTGAACCAGGAGGCCATGAGTTGTAGACTCACCTCTTCTGCTAACTGGTGTAAATAATACTGTGCCATTTACAACTTTTGAGATGCAGCAAGGCTGGATGGGTCTGCCATGTTCGCAAACTGGGTTCCATTCCCCGAATCTCAGCAAAGTCGGAGGCCTTGCTTACTAATCAGGCATGGGTGGCAGGCAAACGCACTGTTGGGGGAGGCTAGCCCCCAGTCCCTCCCCCTCAGCCCAAGGCCACATCCCTCCCCTTCCACCCCCTCTTCCCCGCTGGAGCACACCCCCCTGCGTGGTCACCTGCCCTCCCGCACGCCCCCAGCCCCAGCACAGCACAGGGGTGGCATAGCTGGAGCACCCCAAGCCCCAGTGCTGGGTGGGCAGGTGGTGAGGCTGGAGCACCTCCAGCCCCAGCCCAGTAGCGCCCCCAGCCCTGGATTGCTGGGTGGGCAGCTTGGTGGGTTTTCATAAGAGTTAAGACCATGCTGCAAATCCAGCATCATTCTCCTTTGTTTTCTCTTCCCCTCTGTTCCAGGGACCACAGTTCCAATCAGTGAGCTCTGTCCCTAATCCAGGCTCTGTACCAAAGAAGCCACATGACATAGTCATTTATTCCTTATTTCTTTTCAATGGCATGTCTTATTAAGACTAACTGGAACTGGTTGCAATTTTTGTTTTCTTCTCCATGGAAAATTTTGACTTTTCATGGAAAAGTTTTCAGTTATTGAACAAAAACACTGAAAGTTTTTGAGCAAAGCGGAGACTTGCTGTGAACATTTTCATTTAGTTGAAAATCTGCCTCTTCCATCAAAAAAAAGTTTTGATGGAAAATCTTTGCCCACCCCAACCCTGCCTCTGACCCCACAATGCCTTAGCTTACCTGGTCTTTTTTTTTGCTTTATTCATGAATCCCTTTCTTTTCTATCTTTGCAGTTTGTACAGGTGAGTTGGGACGAATGCCCATAAACAGTGGTAAGTTTTTTATCATTTATGTAACCTGGAGAACACACATGGAGTTTTACAGTCAAGTAAGACATGGGCCCAGATCCACAAAAGGACTTAGGTATTGTAATGCCTAACTTTTAAGCACCTAGAAAATCACTGGAATGCATAAAGTCTGAGTTAGGTGTCTACACTTCCTATACAATGATGTGGAGAGAGAGGCACCTTAGAACACGATCCACGAAAACCAGCATGCTAGGTGGTGCCCTGCCTATACTAGCCAATGGGAGGTGCTCATGAGAGGGGTGTGTACTGAGCCCTGCCCCTCTCACAGCAATCTGCGGCCAGGAACCCCTCTCCTGAAGGCAAGTGCAGGAGGAGGCATATCCCCTATAACTTTTAGCCTAGTGGTTAGAGCACATACCTAGGGTGTGGTGCTATGGGAGAATTAAATTTGACATTGCTGCCGTCCGCCATTTTGTGTGTCCAGCCACTGCTAGCTAAAAACCAAATACCACATAGCTAAAATAATTTTTAAGACTCTTAAAAAACAAGGCCAAATAGCTGCATGTCTGCAGTTCTACTAATCAAAATAAAAAAATTACAACAAATTAATATACCATAAAAATAAAAAAAATCAAAATCAACAACCTGAATTATAAATACCCTTAACATATACATTTTATTATTATTATAACTAAAATCCTTTACTAATACAAAATAAACAATTCGCTAAAACTAATAAAATTAATAATCCAGTAGGGATTACTATAATAACTCACTAAACATCACTATAAATTATATATGTCATTTATATTAACTATACAAAATGAAATAAAAATACACTTTAAAGCAATCCAAAAAATCTTTGCTTCAAGCAAAAAGCTAGCACCTAAATGCCTCAGCAGCTGGATGGAAAGAGGGCCCCTGGAAACCTGGGTGTTAATCTCTCAAAACCATCTAAAAGTTTCAGTAACTTTAATATTTAAAGTGCTCTAAACCTATGGCTATAGCGTATATGTATATATGCTTAAAATCTATTTAAAAAGTAATTTGAAGTAAAAACACACTTGTTTATACCAGTCATATATCGAACAAAAAAAAAAAAACCTTTATCCCTATTCATTTATTCCTAACACTCCCTAAAAAAAATCATTAATTTGCCACTACTTTAAATTCAAAAAACCCTAAATAGCAGGTTCAATTCCCTCTTTGCCAAATGAGGAGAGAGAAATTTGAAGGGGAGGGGAGAAATTTGAATGGGGGGGGGATTCGAACTGGGGGTGCTCCAGCTTCTCAGGAAGTGCCCTAACCACTGAGCAATGGGGTGGTCTCCCTCTTGCCTTTGAAGTTTTGTCCCATGCTGGACAAACAATTCAACTGTCCTCTGGAGCCTCTAGGTCAGAGGTTCCCAAACCAGGGGGCACAGAGGAACGTTCGGGGGTGGGGGTGTGTCGCTGGGGCCTGGGCCAGCCCCCATGGGGGACAGGGAGGGAGCACCACCCAGCTCCTTTCCTGGCCCCAGCCCCGGCAGCCGTCCACCCCACGCCTGCTGGCCCTATACCCAGGGCTCCGCTCCCAGCCCCCCAACTGCTGGCCCCATGCCCGGGGTCCCGGCAACCAGCTCCACACCCAGGGCTTAGCACCTGTGGCCCTGGCTGCCGGTCTCAACCCCCAGCTGGGGCTCTACTTCCAGCCCCTCCCCTGCCCCCAGCTGTGGCCTCAGCCCCAGCCCCCTTACTCCTGTCCATATCCCCCGCACAAGCCATGCCCCTACTCTGGGCCCCAGGGGGAAGGGTCCAGACCGGGCTAAGCGGGGGGCGGGAGGTGACCCTGAAAAGTTTGGAGACCACTGCTCTAGGTGCTATCGTAATACAAATAAATAACTAATAATTGCCACCTTTGTGTTTTAAACAGGGAACATGTAGTGACTGCTCTTGTTCCCATGTGAGCACCCTGGTGCGCTCGCACACTCCCCTTGGAATTGTACATAGAGGAAGCAACCTCCCACCATTTTGTGTGATCAACCCATCAATGCTGCAAAGATTCCTCATGAGTGAGCAGCACAGAGCAGGAATGGGATTGGCCCAATCAGCCATTCAGTCATGGAACATGTGTTTGTGTGTGTGTACACATCCGCACCCTGCTTTGCACTGTTCAACCAGCTTCATTTCTGACACAGCTGTGAAGTTTCGGTTGGTGCACGCTGTAGATCCAGCTTTCGATCTAAATAACTTGAGTGTCCCCTTTTACTCCTACTCAACTGAAGTATTCGCCAGGATTATCTTTCCCCAATAAATGACATGGCTGTAGAACTTATGTGGTTTGAAGTTAGGCTTCTCCTACCATTGTCTACAGATTTCTGCTATCATAGGATTGCTGAGGTCCCCTCTCCAATCTGGACCAATACTTTTCATTCAGGGAAAGACTTTCACTTACTAATTAAATCTGCAGACCTGGGTGCAGACTCTCCAGGAGAAATCAGCAGGAATATCAAAGAGAATTTTCCATCGCCAGAACTCATAAGGAAGGCCGATGAAGCTCAACAAGAATTGCTTAGTGAAATACAGAATACGACCGAACCAGAGATGCCTATCATGGAATCAACTCCATTTATGACCGGTAACTTATTTTAATGTGGTTGTGTGATTGTTTTAGTTTTGGCTACAATTGACCATGACCTCCCTCCCTACCTCACCCTCGACAGCCTGGGAATTGTAGTTATAAGACCGCTTCCCAGTGTACCGATGGAACGAGGGCCATGTCAGGATGTCTGATGGCATGGGACTGGACAGCCAGGAAGGACAGCCAGGGTTGGAAGACCATGAATGGAAACAGTTCAGAGATGATTGTTAGGAAACCATAGCTGCAGCTATGGTCCCATAGGCTGTATTAGTGTGTTGGTAAAATGACAGGTTTCAGGGTAGTAGCCGTGTTAGTCTGTATCAGCAAAAAGAACGAGGAGTACTTGTGGCACCTCAGAGACTAACAAATTTATCTGAGCATAAGCTTTTGTGGGCTAAAACCCACCTCATCGGATGCATGCAGTGGAAAATACAGTGGTGGCTGATGCTAGAACAAGAAGCAGTGGTCTCAAGTTGCAGTGGGGGAGGTCTAGGTTAGATATTCAGAAACACTATTTCACTAGGAGGGTGGTGAAGCACTGGAATGGGTTACCTAGGGAGGTGGTGGAATCTCCATCCTTATTGGTTTTTAAGGCCTGGCTTGACAAAGCCCTGGCTGGGATGATTTAGTTAGGGATCAGCCCTGCTTTGAGCAGGGGGTTGGACTAGATGACCTCCTGAGGTCCCTTCCAACCCTGAGAGTCTATGATTCTATGGTAAGGTGGAGAGACCAGGACCATCACTGACAAATGTGGTAGTACTTTTATAATCAGAGTGACAAGGCAGGAAATGGAGCCCACTGGGCACAACAGAAGATCTCACGGGCAGATCAAGATGGCTGACACATCTAAGGCACTGAGTGTGGGCTGCAATCTGCCCCGGAAACAGGGGAAGGTAAAACTCCAGTCCTGACAGCGTGTTGCTCTTTTCACCCAAGCTGTAGGGCTAGATGTGGGAATTACTGGGTGAAGTTCTCTGGCCTGGGACATGCACAGGTCAGACTAGATGATCTTAATTGTCCTTCTGGCCAAGGGCGCTGGACCCTTTGTGGGGAGAGAGGGGGGCAAGGCCAAAGTCTCCCCGGCCCTCTCCACAGCTGGCTGCTCTGGGGTGAGCCAGCTGCCCTCTCCTATGGCACCACAGCATTCCCTGGTGGGCAAAAGGTGTAATTGCAGCATCTCCGGGGCAGAATCTATTATTCTGCAGGCAGAGGGTGGAATCTGCAGGGACATGAATTCTGCGCTTATGTTTCTTTTGTTAAAAAGCGGGGGGGTCATGGCTCCCTGGCCTCCCTGGTTCCGGCCTTGGTGCTTCTGCCCTTAAATCTATGGGAAAAGGAATCTCTGAATGGCAAACTGATACAGATATCAAACAGCAGGAGACAGTTCCTTTGTTAGCTGCCTGAAGCCTGCCTTTCTAGCCAACACTCTGTACCCAGAAAGCTTTTTCTTTCACCTTTATCTCACAGTTGCATTACTGTGCTTCCAGGCTGTGTCTGCTCCGCTTTCTCTCTCTGCTGCTGTCTTGCTTCTGTCCCTGTGTCTCTCTAGGTGCAATGGCTCTGTCCCACCAACACAAATGGTACGCGGTGGTGTAGCTGCATCAGTCCCAGGATATTAGAGAGACAAGGTGGGGGAGGTCACATCTTTTAACGGCCCAACTGCTGTTGGTGAGTGAGACAAGCTTTTGGGCGATGCAGCTCTTCAGGTCTCCCTCCAGGCCTGAGGAAGAGCTCTGTGTAGCTTGAAAGCTCATTTCTCTGACCAACAGAAGTTGGTCCATCCATAGGCACTGACTTTTATTTTTCCCTGGGGGTACTCCAGCCTGAGACCCTGCCCCTTCCCCCAAGGCTCCGCCCTCCCCCTGCCTCTTCCCGCCCCCACTCCACCCCTCCTCTGAGGCCGCTGCCCACCCACTACTCGCTGCTCTCCGCCCTTCCCCAAACCCCTCCCCGAGCTCCCAAACAGCGGTGGCTGGTGGGTGCTGAGCACCCGCTATCTTTTTTCCCATGGGTGCTCCAGCCCCAGAGCACCCATGGAACTGGTACCTGTGGGCCCCTATCTTGTCCCACCAACACAGAGGCAGACACCCCAGAGCAAAGGCCTGGTCTATACTAAAAAGTTAGTTCGACCCAGCTACGTCACCCAGGGGTGTGGAAAATCTCTATCCTACGCTGGTGGGCCAACCCCGCCTGTGTCTACACCCAAGGGCTACCGCCGGGCAGCTGCAACTGTGCTTTTCAAGTGGCAACTAAACCCAAAGACCTTGCCCCAGGGAGCTCTCTGCCCACAAAGTCTGACTTACGGGTGGGCGTCTACACCCGCTTTGTCTTAGGTGGGGCTGTTCGGTTGTCTCTCACAACTGTCTCATGAGGGGTGGTGGTCACAGCAGGTTAGATGCAATTTAACCCAACCCATGTAATATTAGCATAGATTTGGGAGACCCAGTTGTTAGGAACCATGGGCTTGTAGGTCCTATTCCGAGTGTCCCCTGTATGGGACAGGGTAATGAAACATATATACCAGATACTGACCATTGTAAAGCATTGCGCCCCGTGGAGGACAAGCGCTATAGACGAGCTAGATCTTGATGATTATGAAGCATCTGTAAAGCAAAATCCACAATCTGTTCTCTGCTTCCTGTCCTGTACGAATCCCCTGCCACCCAGGACCAACCGTCTGGAAGTATGCGTACTTGCTCGTTACTGGAGAGGGGCCGGGGGCCGTTCCCTCCTCTTCACTGCAGTCCGTAGTAATTTCCCTCTGCAGAGAGCCGGGAGTGGGGGTGCTAGGAGTGCTGCTCCTAGGTTAACAGCAACGCCGAAGTGGGTGTGGGTTGTTTGTTTCGGTTTTTGTCCAGACTCCTTGACATGCTGCTTTCAGCGGCTGTGGAAGTGGCATCCGTAATCAGAGGCTCTTGTGCGAGGCCAGGCTCCGACCCTGTGGAGAGGCAAAGGGCGGGGGTGAGAGTGGAGACAGGGTCTACATTGCAAATGGAAAGGCTCTTTCCGTGTAGCACACTGTGCTCATTGCAGACTCACTAGACGGTGCCACGCGGCATCCTTACAGGTGGGCTTTTCATGCCAGAAAATAGCTGGACATGAGCAAGAGATTCAGGGGGGACGGACATACACTGGGCCTGATGTTCCTCCAACAGACCATCGGTGCCGACTCTGGGGATGCTCCGAGGCTGGACCACCCACGGGGGAAAAAAAAGGGTGCTACCCCCCGGTCACCTGCCGCTCAGCTGCTTGGCAGGAGGCTCTGGGGCGGAGGGGGCAGAGTGGGGGTGGGAAGCGGTGGAGCGAGGGCGGAGCTTATTCAGGAAGGGGACAGGAAGAGGCAGAGGGAGGGTGGGGCCTTGGGGGAAGGGGAGCAGCAGGGGCAGGAAGAGGCAGAGGGAGGGTGGGGCCTTGTGGGGAAGGGGGCGGGGCAGGGGCGGGAAGAGGTGGAGGGAGGGTGGGACTTTGTGGGGAAGGGGAGCAGCAAGGGGCAGAAAGAGGCAGAGGGAGGGTGGGGCCTTGTGGGGAAGGGGCAGGGCAGGGGAGGGAAGAGGTGGAGGGAGGGTGGGGCCTGGGGGAAGGGGTGGGGCAGGGGCAGGAAGACTCGGAGGGAGGGTGGGGCCTTGGGGGAAGGAGTGGGGCAGGGGAGGGAAGACTCGGAGGGAGGGTGGGGCCTTGGGGGAAGGGCGGAGCGGGGGCGGGAAGAGGCAGAAGGAGGGTGGGGTCTGGGGGAATGGGGTGGAGCGGAGGCGGGAAGAGGCGGAAGGAGGGTGGGGCCTTGGGGTGGGGCGGAACGGAGGCGGGAAGAGGCGGAGGGAGGGTGGGGCCTTGGGGAAGGGCGGAGCGGGGGCGGGAAGAGGAGGAAGGAGGGTGGGGCCTTGGGGGAAGGGCGGAGCGGGGGCGGGAAGAGGCGGAAGGAGGGTGGGGCCTTGGGGGAAGGGGCAGGGCGGGGGTGGGAAGAGGCAGAAGGAGGGTGGAGCCTTGGGGTGGGGCGGAACGGAGGCGGGAAGAGGCGGAGGGAGGGTGGGGCCTTGGGGAAGGGCGGAGTGGGGCCGGGAAGAGGAGGAAGGAGGGTGGGGCCTTGGGGGAAGGGGCGGAGTCACACAGCTAGACCACTGGGGGGAGCGGCCGGATTTCCCCAGGAGGCACTGCAAGGCAGCGCCAGAAGCGAGGCTGTGGCTGCTGCGGGGACACAGACTGAGCCAGGAAATCTGCTGCTGCGGGGACACAGACTGAGCCAGGCTCTGTGAGAGCGGTTCAGGCGACTGCCCCTCTACCCAGATACACAATCCCGCCGGTGGCTGGAGGGCGGCCTATCGCAGCGCCTCGCTCCGCGACCCCGTGTCGCTGCGTCTGCAGCCCCAGATCCTGCGGGGCCCCGCGTCCCACCGCAAAACCGCCGTAGTGTCTAGCCCTGCCCAGAGGTAGCGCTGTGAGAGGCGCCTTCAAAATAGCGACGATCGAGATGCAGCTAGGCACAGATTGTCCGTGCTTCCGAGGGCCGGTCTCCCCAGGGAGCTTCCATCGGCATAACTACGTCCTTTAGGGGTGTGGAACCCCCCCCTCCCGCCCCCCGGAGAAGTAGCTCTGCTGAGGTAGCCGCTGTAGACAGTGCTAGGTCGATGGAAGAATTCTTCTGTCGACCTCGCCATCGCCTCTTGGGGAGGTGGGTTCCTTACACAGATGGGACAGTCCCTCCCGTCGGCATCGGCAGTTTTAAATGTAGACGTCCCCTGAGAGACTTTTCACAGATGGTGCAAAGCAACAAAGAAACTTCCCTTCCTTTTTTTTTTTTGTTTTTTTAAACCCATTGTGCTTTATTTTCAAGGGGCACCTGCCTTCCTGGGAGGTTTCATGCCTAACTGCACCTATCGCATTCTAGACTGGAGCTGGCTCACACACCTGCCACCACCTCTCTTCGTTCATGTAATGGAAGCAAAGTTTACAAGACTCATTAAAGAAAAGAACCCCAACATCTAGAGACAGGCCTGGACCGACCCGCTCTGGCCAAACTACTTTGAGTTTTGGGGAACAGTGCTTGAAATAGAAACCCATTTACGGATGGCCCATATCTTACTATGAGCTAAATCCAAATATCACCCAACACGGTCTCTGAATCCAAAGTTTGCAGCCTCCCTGCTTTGTCCTCTAAGGAGCTGCCTTCTCCACTTTGGGGTCTTTCTCATACATTGATGGCATCACCCATCTGGGTCTAAATTTACTTTCAAGAAACATTTTGGATCTCGGAAGTTTAAGATCAGGGGCCCGGGCTTCATGTTATTGAATCACAGCTGTGGCTGTCTCCAGCTGGCAATCCCATTAGAGCCTGGATTGCTAGCAATAGGGCACTCAATGGGTTTGCTAGGTGATGGTTGTGGACAGGCATCTAAACGCTAACAGGATTCTGCAATCAGGTGGCTATTACGGCTGGATTACTGTTGCATCTGGCTTTTCAAACCTCTCAAATTTACAGAACCCTGATCTTACATTTATCTCCCTTCTCTCACAAACACCACAGATACTTCAAAAAGAAAAGGAGTACTTGTGGCACCTTAGAGACTAACCAAAAGTCCTCCTTTTCTTTTTGTGAATACAGAGACTAACACGGCTGCTACTCTGAAACAGATACTTCAGTTTTCTCTAACATCTGACCTTTCTGACTGAGTTGTTAAAAGCCATTAAGAATTTTATTGCCACCGATTTCCACCGCTCACCAGTTGTTCGGTGACATTTATCAAGAGCTTGTTATAGGACGGAAAACCATGTAAACCTGTAACGATCAATATTTAAACTGTGGCTGATTTATTTGCACGCCCTCATTAACTGTGATTTCCATTTGCTTTCTCTGCAGCTCCCAGTGATAAGCAGCTAATGGCTCAGGCTCCGCAGGAGCAGCGACATGCCCGCAGCCCATTAGAAGGTGAAATGCACTGAATTAAATGGCATTTAGGGAAGTCACTTTCAGGAGAGGAAGTGCTTTTTAAAACTGAGCTCAAGGGGACACACACATGGAAACAGATACACCCGATAACTAGCGCTACAGGAAATCTCTGTCTCTCTCCTCCTGCATGGAGCAGATAAACTTAGGAGCTGGACATTCCCCTGTTGTTGAGATTATTGAGATAACTAATTGCAGCATGCTGCCACCTGCAACAATGTTGTCCAGCCAGCCTGAGTGGCCCTGCAAACTGGGTCATGTGTCTCTGGATGCTGCTGGGGTCAGTGAGTGCCACAAAGAGCCTTCGGCAGAGTTCAGCAGTGGAAGGGTTCAACTGCACGTTTGGAGATCAGACGCTATGGGGGTGGGCACACTAGGCTAGTACCTTGTGGCGTTTGCGAGGCAGAAAAGCATTCTCTTGATTTCCAACCACTGGAAATCGGATTTCCTGCTGAGATGAAACTGGCTTGGATGCTCGCAGACAGTAAGACATTTTAGCCCCCGTCTGCAAAAAATCCAAGAGGCAGCTCAGCAACTCTGACAGCCTCTGCTCAAGATGCAGCCAAGCTAGAGCCACGGCGGGTGCTGCAGGTTGGGATGGTAGATCATTTGGGTGCTGCCTGCAGGAATAGCGGGCTTTAAGGCATGGAGGGGAAGCTTGCTCGGCACTTCATTCATTTTACTGAGTATCCTATTCATCCAGTACAATCCAACCTCCCATGCCAGCTCATGGCCACACACTCCTGACGGCCCAGATCCTGCCCCCCTGGCCTGGACACACCATTGGAAAACTCACATAGGGCAGGATTCTGCCATGGGAAGCAGTCAGGCCCAGATCCTGAAAGGTATTTAGGCTCCTAACTCCCCTTGAAAGTTAGGGGCCTAAATCCCTTTGAGGATCTGGGCCTACCTTACTCCCTCTGAATCCCCATTGAAATGAACAGGGCTATTTACGCAGTAAGCTGCTGCTCAGTGGGAGTAAGGGGGCAGCATCTGGCTCGTTGCTTTCCATTCCAGCGTCGATCTCTTGGTGGGGATCTGTTTCATTTCAGACCCTTGTCGACTACCTATGGACGAGGGCTCCTGCCTGCACTACACGTTGCTCTGGTATTACCATGGGGAAGCCAACGCCTGCAGGCCGTTCGTGTTTGGAGGCTGTGGAGGAAACAGCAATAGGTTTAAATCCAAACTAACATGTGAGCGTTGGTGTAAAATCACAACAGGTAGGGGGACTTCTCTTCCATTCGCTTCTGGTGGGGACAAGAACAAATGGGTATCGACTGGCCAGGAATAAACTCAGGCTGGAAATTAGAAGAGATATTCTAATCCACAGAGAAGCAAAGGTCTTGAATGGCCTGCCCATAGGAGTAGTGGGGGCAAGAAACCCAAGTAGTTCTAAATTGGATCTTGATACCAATGGGATTACTGGACTTGATGACCCAGCAGGTCCCTTCCAGTCCTGGGTGAGGCCACCCCAGTCACTTCTCCTACCCCTCTCACCAGTGAGTCCTGGACTAGTCTCCCACCTAACATACATGAGTCCCATCCTCTCCACCTTCAAAGAGCTGCTACAAAGCTGCCTGTTCTGCAGAGTGAAAAGGAGTACTTGTGGCACTTTAGAGACTAACCAATTTATTTGAGCATAAGCTTTCGTGAGCTACAGCTCACTTCATCGGATGCATTCAGTGGAAAATACAGTGGGGAGATTTATATACACAGAGAACATGAAACAATGGGTGTTACCATACACACTGTAACCAGAGTGATCACTTAAGGTGAGCTATTACCAGCAGGAGAGCAGGGAGGAGGGGGGAGAACCTTTTGTAGTGATAATCAAGGTGGGTTATTTCTAGCAGTTGACAAGAACGTCTGAGGAACAGTAGGGGCGGGGGAGATAAACATGGGGAAATAGTTTTACTTTGTGTAATGACCCATCCACTCCCAGTCTTTATTCAAGCCTAAGTTAATTGTATCCAGTTTGCAAATTAATTCCAATTCAGCAGTCTCTCACTGGAGTCTGTTTTTGAAGTTTTTTTGTTGAAGAATTGCCACTTTTAGGTCTGTAATCGAGTGACCAAAGAGATTGAAGTGTTCTCCGACTGGTTTTTGAATGTTATAATTCTTGACATCTGATTTGTGTCCAGTTTGGCCAATGTACATGGCAGAGGGGCATTGCTGGCACATGATGGCATATATCACATTGGTAGATGTGCAGGTGAATGAGCCTCTGATAGTGTGGCTGATGTGATTAGGCCCTATGATGGTGTCCCCTGAATAGATATGTGGGCACAGTTGGCAATGGGCTTTGTTGGAAGGATAGGTTCCTGGGTTAGTGGTTCTGTCGTGTGGTGTGTGGTTGCTGGTGAGTATTTGCTTCAGGTTGGGGGCCTGTCTGTAAGCAAGGACTGGCCTGTCTCCCAAGATCTGTGGAGTGATGGGTCGTCCTTCAGGATAGGTTGTAGATCCTTGATGATGCATTGGAGAGGTTTTAGTTGGGGGCTGAAGGTGACGGTTAGTGGCGTTCTGTTATTTTCTTTGTTAGGCCTGTCCTGTAGTAGGTGACTTCTGGGAACACTTCTGGCTCTGTCAATCTGTTTCTTCACTTCAGCAGGTGGGTATTGTAGTTGTAAGTACTCTTGATAGAGATCTTGTAGGTGTTTATCTCTGTCTGAGGGGTTGGAGCAAATGCGGTTGTATCGCAGAGCTTGGCTGTAGACAATGGATCGTGTGGTGTGGTCAGGGTGAAAGCTGGAGGCATGTAGGTAGGAATAGCGGTCAGTAGGTTTCCGGTATAGGGTGGTGTTTATGTGACCATTGCTTATTAGCACCGTAGTGTCCAGGAAGTGGATCTCTTGTGTGGACTCGTCCAGGCTGAGGTTGATGGTGGGATGGAAATTGTTGAAATCATGGTGGAAATCCTCAAAGGCTTCTTTTCCATGGGTCCAGATGATGAAGATGTCATCAATGTAACGCACGTAGAGTAGGGGCATTAGGGGACGAGAGCTGAAGAAGCGCTCCCCCCCACCCCACTGTTCCTCAAATGTTCTTGTCAACTGCTGGAAATGGCACACCTTGATTATCACTACAAAAGGTCCCGTCCCCCCCCCACTCTCCTGCTGGCAATAGCTCACCTTACCTGATCACTCTGGTTACAGTGTGTATGATAACACACATTGTTTCATGTTCTCTATGTATATAAAATCTCCCCACTGTATTTTCCACTGAATGCATCCAATGAAGTGAGCTGTAGCTCACAAAAGCTTATGCTCAAATAAATTTGTTAGTTTCTAAGGTGCCACAAGTCCTCCTTTTCTTTTTTGGGAAACAGACTAACACAGCTGCTACTTTGAAACCTGTGTTCTGCAGAATGTGTCATCTCTCCTAGTACTCCCTAGCAGGCCAGATTTACCTACTACCAGTGTGTGGCGGGGAAAAGGGAGACTGAGACGGAGCAGCAAAAACGCATCCAGGTGTAAGTCACTCGCAACTCCATTCAGTTCCATTTTCAGTGCTCCTGCTGCCCCCAGCATGCCCAAAGTTTTTCCCTTCTAAGGAATCCATGTCTCTTTAAGAAGGTGAGGCAGGCCCCAGCCTATGTGCCTGGAGTCCCAAATGCAGTACCTCCTTCCCAGATGCTGCCTGTCTTCACTTTGCTGGAATGCGTTGGCCTGGCACTGTCATTACACACCCTTCCCTGGTGCTGCCCCCTCCTCCGACTGACGAAGTTAGAGGACCCTGTGTTTTATAAGCCCTCAGACTCCTCCCACTCTCAGCATGCTTTGCTAAAAGATACCAGTAGTGCTCCCCAGCTCTCAGTGAGGGAAGCCAGCTGGACTGTGCCCCAGTTCTAACCCTGAAGTGGCTACAAACTTTTTACAGCCCCCATCCTGGTAAATCCAGTTTCTGAAGGAGCTTGGGTTTCCCATTTTCCTACCACATCTGTGATGGGCAGGTCATTCTGGGCCACCAGTGAGCACCTGGTGAGGTGATATCATCCAAGCCTTGTTCTTCATCTGTGCACTGCATTGTCCACATGGGTGCTTCTAGGCTGTAAGTTACTGGAAGCCGAGCTCATGATCTGTGCTTAGAACATTGCAAGCCATCTCGTATATTGCAGTTAGGTGCCGTCCATACCCCTTGCTTTCAAAACTCCTGTTGTATTTCTGGCACCTACAATTATGGAAGAGAGACCTCAGAGTGTTTATGGACCATTACCATATATCTCAAGGTTGTAGGCCTACCAGGAGCATAGAATTTGCTCTACATCATCCCAATGGCACATCAAATCTGGCACGATGCTTGTGAGGAAGGCAAACCAGGCATGAGGTCTCAGCTACTTTTTCAATGCTGCACTTGCTTGTGTCATTGAGTTTCCATCAATGGGATCATGGAACACCCAGCCCTTAAATGATCAACTCATTCACAGACCTCCCATGGTAACTTGTTGGTAAAGTGCCTTGTACCACTCCCGGTGGCTGGTTAGTGCCAATTAGCAAAGTTCTGCTGTACAGGGTATGCCTATGCGGGGTGGAATCCTGGCCCCACTGAAATCAAAGGCAAAAGTCCAGTGGACTTCCATGAGTTTGGGATTTCACCTTTGGTATTCTAGGTCCCAGCTCTATCATGGTTCCCCTTCTCTAAGGCTGGGTGCCACATTACTGTTTTGATGTGCAGAATTTTGTGCAAATTCCCCACCCCCGGCACTCACTTTCCTTGATGTCACCCAAACTTAAAGCTCCCAAGGAAAACTTGGCCAAACCTTTCTGTCCAGTTTTTGGGAGACAGCCACTGTGTTTGGCCTGAATTCCACCTTAGCCATGCATCAGCACCAGTAGGGTTTGAAATCCAGCCTGGGATCACCCTCGAGTTTGCAAATCTGGCTTGAGCTTGGGGTTTGCGCCAAAACCTCAAACCTTGGTGAGGAAAGACGTGCTCAGGGACATGAAGCCCTTGTCCTCTGAAGGGGGCCCTTTAAGAGAAGCAATCAGCCAGTGCTATGGAAGGGAGGTGGCTGCTGCTTATGAAGACAGCACTAACTAGGCCACTCTCCATAACGACCAAGCTGCATCAGAGGTGATGCTTCTACCTGGAGCATTCTCGTCACCCTAACTGAGAGAGGCAGGAAGAGCAGATCCCAGAAGGGGCTGTTTTCCCTGTCTAAAGAAAGACCTACTGAGACCCCAGCTGCAGGAGTACAGCTCTGAGCCCTGAGAGGACAATGAAGGGGTAGAGTTCTTCTCCCACCTCCTTCAGACCATTGCGCTGGCTTGAATTCAAGCCTCATGTCACTGCCCTGTCTTGTTCTTCTGTTCCTCTTCTGGCACCGCCAGTGGTAGATTGAGGCTATACCTGAGAACTGTGGTATTAATTTAGATGAACTATATGGGCGAAAGGTGCTAACCTAATCCAGTCTCTATCCAACATTAAACCGTGTTAAAGATGGTTCGGGGTTTGATGTACGCAAGCGTTAGCCTGCATAGCACCCTAGCAAACCAGTTGTTTAACCTTTTATTAATGATACAGAAAAGAAGGAAAACCAGTGAAAGCCTTGGAAATGGAAAGTATTAAGTCAGGCTTTCATTTTAATCACCTCCCGTGTTCCCTTTCCCTTCAGCTGGAGAGAGTTTTAGAAGGAAACCCCCGCTTCTTTGAGAGTCTCTTCAATGGTATCAGAGATGGTGGTAACTGTCCTGCTGGGGGAAAGAGAAGTCAGTTGAGCTGGGTTGGAGCTGCTGTTAAAGCCCGATCCCCTTTCATCTCCAGGGGTGGCTGGTATTCAGCTGGAGCTGATGATATCAGCTGGGTTCCTCTCTCTGGCCTGGTCTGCTCAGGACATCTTTAGGATGAGGACGATGAAGGCCTGGGGTCCCAGGAGATGGGGGGGTGGCAGCCATGATGGTGCCATTCGCTTTAGTAGCCTCCTTCTGTTTTTTCTCTATATCCCCCCCCACACACACAAGTCTTTCTTGAAGGACGCACAAACGGAATGGTGGGTGGAATAGCCCCTCTCCTCAGTATTTTCTCCACCAGGCCTAATACCCCCAACACACCAATTTTGGGTCATTAACTTCCACATCATCTGTTTTTAACAAGCAGAATTTCACCAGTCCTTGGATTATATCAATGTGGCCTTTTCGGTTTAGGCTAATTCCGTTTTTGTTCAGTTCTCTTGCATCTGTTTAGAACATTCTTTCTTGGAATTAACTTGACCTACTTGCCAGAGTAAATTCCTAGGTGGGCGAAAGTTACAGGCCGGTTGTCACAACAGACTTTTCCCATCCCAGACAACGTGTGCAGGACACATCTGGTGCCAGGCTCCTCCCTTCCCTTGTGAGTGTGAGCCCACCTTGAATATCCTCCTTTCCACTATCCGTGATAGTGCACTGTTCCATCAGCTGACACGCTGGGACCCCTCAGGCTGACCTAGCTTGCCCCTTCATCCATCCACTAAGAATACCATAACAAATCTGTGGCCACTTAGGACCTCCCAGTTGTCGTTGTCCTGCACACTGTAACCACTTCACGTCAGCAGCTGGGATCAAACTCAGCACAGGCCCCTGTCCTTGACCCAAAGGTGAATCTCCACTAGCCGTCAGCAGTAAAGGGGCTTATGACACACAGGTGAGCAGTTCTGATTGCCTCCAGTAGATGGCAGTGGCATGCACATGCACATATCCGCTAGTTTGCTACATTACCTACCTTTTTGGAAAAGTGCTGCTTAAATTAAGCTGATCCTGCTCCTCTGAGCCCTTCCTCGCTGTGACATCACAGTTCTCTCCCATGGAAATGGTGATGATATCACAAGCACAGGGTGATGTCATCAGCAGAAGGTATTGAGCAATGGGAGGAAGTTGATCCCAGCAGGGAGGGGAAATAAGTTACAACAGACTCAAAGGTCTTACTTGTGAGGCGGGAGTCACCATCAACTGAAAAGCCATGCGTCCATCTGAGATGCTTTGCCTCCCATCATTAAAGGCCATATCGCTGGTTCTGAAAGAGATGAGGGGACCAACGTTCCCAGTTTCAATCTGTTAACTTTGAACATTGGTGGGACTGACTTTGTGTAGGGTCACTTCCACTGTTGAGCCTGCAGAGTTGGTCCTTTCCCTCTGTTGTTTGCGCCATTCTTTCATAGAATCATAGAAGATTAGGGTTGGAAGAGACCTCAGGAGGTCATCTAGTCCAACCCCCTGCTCAAAGCAGGACCAATCCCCAACTAAATCATCCCAGCCAGGGCTTTGTCAAGCCAGGCCTTAAAAACCTTGAAGGATGGAGATTCCACCACCTCCCTGGGTAACCCATTCCAGTGCTTCACCACCCTCCTAGTGAAATAGTGTTTCCGAATATCCAACCTAGACCTCCCCCACTGCAACTTGAGACCATTACTCCTTGTTCTGTCATCTGGTGCTCCTGAGAACAGTCTAGATCCTTCCTTTTTGGAACCCCCTTCAGGTAGTTGAAAGCAGCTATCAAATCCCCCCTCATTCTTTTCTTCCACAGACTAAACAATCCCAGTTCCCTCAGCCTCTCCTCATCAGTCATGTGCTCCAGCCCCCTAATAATTTTTGTTGCCCTCCAATGGACTCTTTCCAATTTTTTCACATCTTTCTTGTAGTGTGGGGCCCAAAACTGGACGCATGCTGCAATGGGAAAAGGTGACGGTAAAACCTTACAAATTGGCTGGGCGATCCACAGGGTGGAGGGCAGGTATATGCCCTGGAATGACTTTGAACCATTTTAATTGGCTCGATTCCATGTGGGTGAGGTCCCTTTAATCTTTCTTGCCAGAAAGAAAGCAGATGCTCTTAAGGAAACTTGCTTTTGGCACTGTTGACGTGTTAACGGGTTCCCTGCGAACACAATCTGGTCGTTAACAATTCCATCCAGTGGATGCAAGACGTTCAAATCAGTGGCGTTATTAAGCGCACAGAAGGAAATCTTCATTAGAAGCAGCCTTTGTAGTGCAAGCTATCAAAAAATGACTTATTCAAAATGAGTCTTAACAGTGTTCCTTCTGCAATGGCAAGAAACTCAGGGAGGAGCGGCCCTTCCAGCCAGCCTCAAACTGAACCCATTTGTTTTCTCTTTCCTTTCTCTCCAAAATCTCTCCCAGGAAGGTGACTCGGTGCAGACAGATGGTGTAAATGAGGAGGGAGCTGCAAGGAGGTGAATCCACGACAGCTCAGAGGTTGGAAATACAGCAAGACAAACAATTTAACACAAAGAGGTGGTAGATGTTAGTTCTGCAGACAAGGAGATAGTTATGGTTATGGATATGTAATAAATCGGGCTGATAAGAGAGAGTCTTTTGTTTGGCTGGAAAAGCTGAAATGTTCAGAGGCTCTTGACACACTGCAGATCTATTGTGCAACACCCAACAGACACCTAAATGTTATTTTATTTTTTTAAATAAACCTGTAGGTTAAGCCAACCTTGCATAATTCCAGTCCCCCTGCTCACCAGGTAGTTCTTTGTGATGGGCAAGTAAAATGTAATTGTTTTCCCATTACCATCAGTTTGGTAAGGAAGGACAAGTCAGTTTTGTTGGTTAATTTTTGTGAGGCTCATATTAAATCGTCAATAGGGATAAATGGAACCAGTTTGGGACAACTTGGATCATCGTTCAAATCAGCCTTCAGCCATCACTGTTTTCACGTCTCCCCACTTCCTGGTTTCCTCCAGGATCGGAAGCCTTTGTGAGACAGGGGGCATGGAACATCTTCCGTTCCAATCCCAGCTCTGCCACTAAACTCTCTCTGTGACCCGGACAAGTCACTTAACCTCTCTCTGCTTCAGATTCCCACCCGTAATACAGGGATGTGTTGAGCATTAATTAGTTAATTTCATTGCGGAGGGAAAGTGCCAAGAGTTACTGAAATCTCACCAGAAAGGCTGTTCTCAAATTGGGCGATACCACGTCATTCTGGAAATCATTGTCTTAAGTCCTGTGAAATTTCAAACCCCGTTTCTAGATCAAAGTGTTTTGGATACATTCGGAGGGCAGTCCTAACTGTTACCAATTCAGATGCCAGATGCTGAGATCAGCAGCTGCAGGGATAGATAGGCTTGTGGTAAAGCTTCCAGTATCTTGGATCTAAGTAACGCGGGCTGAGGGGTCCCTTTCCGATGAGAAGAATGGAATCCTTTGAACCAAATTTCATAAGGCAGGAGGAAGCAGTTGTCCGAGGAGCCATTTTTTGTAATCAGGGTGACCCAGCGTGAGACGCTTCTGTATCTATCTTAAGGCACAAGAGACTCTTAGCTCTTTTTAAATCTTTAATCATTCCATTGCCAATGGGAAAATGAAGAAGGAAATCTCAAACAACTTAGAGTTGGTAAGGAAATATTAATTATCTCTAATATATATACTGGAGCTAAAAATTTCACCTACTAAATGAGGCTTGGTTAACAAAAGCAATTACTGAACTGTCAAATTTTCTGGCTTAATATAACCATTCTGGTCTCTAATTTATGGTATTTCATGCTAAATTCCCTTGACTTGGTCCTGTATTGGAGAGGCAATGTGGTCTAGTACAGCAAGCATGGCATTCCTGAATTCCCAGTCAGCCTCTGCCACTGACTAGCCTCTGTGGACTTTGGCAAGTCGCTTCACCTCCCTGTGGCCGTTATAATGACTGTTCTGATACTCATTCATTTATTTAACAGGAGTGTTGTGCGGTTTAATTGCTTTGTAGTATTGTGTCCAAAGCCCGCCAGTGGCAGAGATTAAATAGAGGGAAGGCTACATTTACAAATACCCAGGACTTTAAGCAAAGGGGTGGGGTTTTGTACAGAACACACCCTCTTGCTAATGATTCCTCAAATAACTGGGCCCATCTCCTCTGTGAGTGTGTGTTCTTTTGTTCCGCATATACAGAAAATATTAGTTTTCATTAAACAATTTAAAGGACAACTTGTCTTCGTGAATTTTAGAGTGAAAACTCCCCACATTTTGTTTCAAGACAGCCCTGATTGGAGTAGTGGTTTAATAAGGGTTATGGTAGAGGAAATAGAGAAGAATCTAGTAAGATCTTAACCGAAACTGCCTGTAAAGGGGTCTTACAGTGACAGGATATTCAGAAACTCCACCTACCAAATCTACCCAGAAGGAGAGCCAGTTACAGGTACGGCTTCATCCCTGCCAGAAGCCACGATCCCTTTGTTGGTGGCAGCTATTCCCACCTGGAGGGTATTGCACAGGCCGCGCACTTCAGTTTACAAAGTGTAAATGTGAGTGCCTTTAAAAAGCAAAAACAAGTTGACCAGGGAATTGTGACATTACCGCCGCAATACGATTAACCCTTGTCGAGCCAAATTGAGAATGACTCTCGTTACTTGCCACTGCGCTGTTCATAGAACCTAGGCCCAGACCCTCGGAGATATTTAGGCACGACAGGCATTAGCCTGTAGAGGTCCATGGGAGTTAGGCACCTTGCTGTCCTGGAGGATCTGGGCCTTACTGCTTCAAAGTCGTACCAACCTCTTCCAGTAGATTGGATAAGCACAGAGAGAGTGAGAGAGTGCTGTATTGCTTCTAAATAAACTTCGCACTCCAGCTTACAGAATGCAATGGCACGTGCTGCTGAGGGTAAGGCTCCTGCATCAGCAGTGGGGACTGTGAACATAAGAACGGCCAGACTGGGTCAAACCAAAGGTCTATCTAGCCAAGTGTCTGGTCTTCCGACAGTGGCCAGTGCCAGGTGCCCCAGAGGGAATGAACAGAACAGGTCATCATCAAGTGATCCTTCCCCTCTCGCTCATTCCCAGCTTCTGGCAAACAGAGGCTAGGGACACTCAGAGCATGGTGTTGCATCCCTCCCCATCCTGGCTAATGCAACCTTGACAAATTGGAGAATTGGTCAGAATTCAATAAGGTGATATTCGATAAAGACAAGTGCAAAGTACAGCACAGAGGAAAGGAAAAGCAAACGCACAGCTACAAAATGGGGAATAACTGGCTAGGTGGTAGAATGGTTGAAAAGGATCTGGGGGTTATAGTGGATCCCAAATTGAATATGTCAGCAATGTGATACAGCTGCAAAAATGCTACTATCATTGTGGGCTGTATTAACGGCGTGTCCTATGTCAGACATGGGAGGTAATTGTCCCACTCTACTTAGCACTGGTGGGGCCTCAGCTTGAGTACAGGGGCCAGTTCTGGGCACAATGGTTTAGGAAAGAGGTGACCAAATTGGAGCGAGCCCAGAGGGCAGCAACAGAAATGATAAAAGGTTTAGAAAAAGGAAAGGCTAAAAAAACCTGGGCGTGGTTGGTCTTGAGGACAGAAGATTGAGGGGGGACCTGATAACCATCCTCAAATTAGTTAGGGGCTGTTCTAGAGAGGACAGGGATCAATTCTCCGTCTCCGCCAATGGTAGGGGGAGAAGTAATGGCCTTAATCAGCAGCAATGGAGATTTAGGTTAGATATTAGGAACGTTCTAACTATACGGGTAGTTACGCTCTGAAACAGGCTTCCAAAGGATGTTGTGGAGTCCCCATCACTGGAGGTTTTTAAGAACAGGTTGGACAAACAGCTGTCAGGGATGGTCCAGGTTTATGTGGTCCTGCCTGCGGCACAGGGCACTGGACTAGATGACATTTGGAGGTCCCTTCCAGCCCTACGTGTCTCTGAGTCAGTGATAATATCTTTTTCCCCATGCAATGAAATTGGGTAATTGCCATGGGAGAGCTCACTGTTTGAGTAAAGCAAGATGCCTCTTCTTGTTAAAATTCCAAACAGAAAACGTCCCTGCACCCCGTGTCTTCTTCCCTCGGTGGATCTGGCCGCGTGTTTCATTTTCTTCCAACAGGCTGGGAACTGCAGAGTGTTAGAAAAACAAAGGGTACATCATCCTTGCCCCTTGGGAGGCACATTAGGTTGATATCAAGTACTGTACAGGGAGGATAAACAATATTATCCATGTCTCTTATGACTGTGAATCAGCAGCATGCCGAGTCTCGGTTTACAATGGGTTTATGCATGATGGGCCACACCAACCCGCCGCTTAGCTAGAAGATTTTGGCCAACTGCTTCTTCTGCAAGCAAGTCCTGCGAGAGGTGGTCAGAGAATTGGTTTCCTCCTGGTCCCCACAACTTAGGAAGAGAAATGAGAGAGAATTCCTAGGCCAACCAAAGCGCTCCAAGGATCAGAGGATAAACCACAAGAGAAGAGGGGGGAGAGAGATTATAAATGGGACTGGCCCTGGACCCCCCTTTATAATGGCTCCACAGTATGTGCCCAGGGGCCTTTTCAGAGTGAGCACCATGTCACTGGCCTCCCATACTCCATCCTGAGTCCCTATAATGGAAAGAACTAGAGCAAAGCATTGTATGGACCGTTCTAAAGCGCCCACAGTCCCAGAGCATACATGGCCTTGCAGAACCCACGCACCTGGCGGACAGGAACTCAAGGTGGTGGGGGGTAACTGGGTAGGGGTGTGACATTAAATGCAAACCACGTGGTTTGTGGAAATGACGACAATAAAGCAGGACTATGAAGTGCACTCCAGGACCGTGATGTGCACAAGGAGCATGTCTAGGACTGGAATGCCTTGGAAAGAGGCAGCTTGTTCCAGTCTGAACCTTTTTTGCTAGCTAGCGTTACAATCTAAGGCACATTTATAACTGATGAGACACCCCCACATACTCCCCTTGCAGCTGTTTTTACCCATTAACCAAGATCGGGGTCTCTGAACTATCTGACTTCTTGGCCTGAGGATACAGTAGCTGCCTGAGAATGTGAGAGGCAGAAATCTCCTTCGCTCCCACTTTTCCTTAGTCACTGCAAGAAAGATGCAATTGGTGGAGTTTTCTTTTTTTTAAACCTACAGCCTAAACTTAGGTTCTGAAATAAAAGTGGTCACTTTCAGAGGTGCTGAGTGACAATAGGAGTTAGGCACCTAAATGGCTTTGTGACTCCCACCCTTTACTCCCATGAATGATCTGGCAAATTGCCCCAGTGGTCACCCCTCTCCGTCCTTACAGGCTTTGCGTTCTTGGATGCCCATGTGGCATTTTGGGGGAGTATTCTTCAGTGGTTAGAGCCGGGGCCCTGGGAATCCAGACACCTGGGTTCTTTGCCCAATTCTTGGGCAAATCACTTAACCTCAGTGTCCCATCGGTAATATTGGAATCATCTAACTTATATCAGCCTCACAAGGGATATTAATATTTGTAAAGTGCTTTGAGATCCTTGACGGGAAGGTGATAGTCACACAAACTAGTATCACCGGTAGCTACCTAGAACAAACCCTGCTCTGTGGCTATATATGATCAAACTGTTCCTGAATTGGGTGTATTAAAGGCAGCTAGGATTTCCCATCAGTACTCTAGGAGGTTGGACATAATGGGACATGGATAACTTGATTTTTTTAAAACAAATCTAGCCCTAAATGTTTACTATTGATTTACCATCTGAACTGCTTTGGTAGGACCAAAATATGACTGTAATGTATCCTCCACGTTCCCTTGGAAATGTCATGCCACTATAATTGAGTTTCTCTCGTTGATTTGATTGTGTGATAGAGGAGACTTTTAGGGCACAGCAATCAACAGCAGAGCAGGCTGCTTTGGAGACATGCAGGAGGTGGCATTATTGTAAATGGGGAGCATTCTGAAGAGTCCATAAATACTTAAATGTATCTTTTAGAAAGACTTTTAAAAAACCAAACAAACCCAGTAGGCACAACCCCATGCGCTCAGAATAGCTTATCAGAGCCCCAAAACTCATGCGAATGGCTTAAAAAATTTGAGATTTTTTTTTAAAAACCTACCTTTGGGGTTCTTCTCATTTGCCTTCTGGCTTTTGAGTCATTAGGTTGTATTCAAGTCATGCTTTCAAGCATTTTTCTGAACCATGAGGGCTAGAAATTTTTTAAAGCGCAATGAATCTATGAAAGCTGAGTGTTTCACAAAATCACATGATTCCAGGTGCTGGGGCTTCAACACCAACTAGTGCAAGACGTGTGATAAAAATCACAAGAATTGGCAATGGTGCAATCTCCCTATTTGAACTATGCTCTAGCTGGTGTACAGAAAGGCAAGTGGATGACTGTGGGGCAGATGGATAGGAGTGGGAGTGAGAGGAACTACTGAGATTTGGTGGGGGGAGGGAAGTGGCTGGCTTCCAGTCTGGGAAAGGGTGTCCCGGTAGTTCCTACTGCCATTCCTATGGCAGTTGCTCAGTGGCTGATGCCTGGTACCCTGTGCTCCTGCCCGTCCTTGGTGCCTGAGACCCTGTGCACGAACGCCCACCCCGGCAGCTGGTTCACCTTCTTCTGCCCCTCCTCCAGGCCAAGTGTCTCTGCCAGGACCTGCAGTGGCTAGAAGGCAGGATTGGGCTGGGCCAGGGAGTCCTACCCTGCTCCCTGGCAGAGGGCCTGATCTGGTGCACGAGGGTGTCTGCTCCAGCCCCTCCTTGAGATCCTACTCTTGTCTCTGTCCCTTCCCTGCCACCAGGTCCCCCTTTTGCCTCTGTAAGATACAGTGGGCGGAAATATCTGTAAGCACAGTCTGATGAGCTGGGAGAGAAGACTTCAGGAACTGACCTTGTTTGCATAGACATGCCCACTTTGCCTAGGTGCACAGCATGATGGGGCTGCTTTGCCCAAATGATCACTTTTGGTTGGGCTTGGGTGGCAAGTCGCTTTGTTATTGGGTGCAGGGATAATAACGTGCTGTTATCCTTGTTGTGGGAATCCAGGGCAGCAGAACTGAGCTTGGCATGCCTTGATTGAGGGATTCATACTCAACTGAACTGCACTTGCTAAGCAAGGAGTAGAGGCGCCAAAGCCCAGTGGAGATGAGAGGAGGTGAGGGCAGGTGCTTGTTCCTGATGGTATGGGCTCTCCCTAAGGGCTCTC